TGTGATCCTGGAGTCCCGGGATCGAGTCCCACATCGGGCTCCCTGCATGGAGCCTGCTTCTCCCTCTGCCTGTGTCTCTGCCTCTCTCTCTCTCTCTCTCTCTCTCTCTCTCATGAATAGAATCTTTAAAAAAATAATAAAATCAAAATCAAAATCCATACAATTAAAAGCTATGATAAACAAAGTATCCAAATTTTAAACAGAGGCAGGCTCCAATTCCCTCTTCCTTCAGACTGCTAGGCTTGTTAAGTTGAAATGACAACAAATATCCACCCGACTCTCCAAGACAGAGGAAGGACATCGGAGGCACAGTGCCAGATGGATGCGTTGCCAACTCAGTTTGCCCCAAGAGGGGTGCTCACTGTTTCCTACTCTTGAGTGTAGAAAAAACTAGGTCAAGTACTTCCTAGAAAAAAGATGCTATATTCCTAATTGATTAAAGTCTCTATTAGTGTATTCTCCTAATTCGTGAAGAGTCATCTTGGGACTTCTAATACATTCACATAACCAGGAATGCGCTCCTTCCTCCCGTCCTTCTGTTCTTGATCAGTACAGACCAATCAGTCCTGTCTGACCCCTTGTCTGAGGTGGGACCTGCCTGGTGCCCCCGGTGACAATCCCACTGTTCTGTCATTTCTCCTCCTTGGCTCCTTTTATCCACTCTGTTTGTCCTGGCATTCCTCAAGTTCAGGATTGTAGGATGGAAAGAGCAGTAGAAGAGGTGATAGTGTGTTCTTAGCGCAGCTGCCAAGCAGACGTGTGGTCCTGGGCTCATCATGACTCTCGGTGCTTCGGTTTCCTCATCTGTGACAAGAAGAACTCAAAACTAGATCATCCCATGCTCCTCTCTGCTTCTCAAGCTCTGTGCTTCCGGTTCCACCTCAGAAAGCTCACCTCCACGGGTTTCTAATTTTTAGCTCCTCATCTCACTCCGGATTCTGAGGGCCTTTCCAGTTGTTTCAGGGAAATTAATCTCCTCTCACTTTTTTCCATGGTGCATAGTGAATGATAGGAAAGGAGCATCTGGGATTCACGTGTACTCAAAGCTGTGATTTCTTTTTTTAAGATTTTATTTATTTATTCATGAGAGACACAGAGAGAGAGAGGTAGAGACATAGGCAGAGGGAGAAGCAGGCTCCCTGTTGGGAGCCCAATGTGGGACTCAGTCCCAGGACCCTGGGATCATGACCTGAGCCAAAGGCAGACACTCAACCACTGAACCACCCAGGTGCCCCCAAAGCTGCGATTTCTAAAGAAAAACAGAACAGCAAAAATCCAGTGACCCTTCCACTTGCCCAGCACACCCTGCATGCATGGTCACAGAAGTCTCTGTCTGCCTCCTCAGCTTCTTTTTACCAAGCTGAAATAGCATTCATTTATTCAACCAATATCCATTGAATACCTCCTAAGTAGCAGGCACCTTTCTAAGGCCTGAATTAAACAAAATTCCTGCCCTGGTGGCATGACCACTTATTCTAGCATTTATATACATTTGCAAATATTCTAGTATTTACTTTATATACTCAGGCAAGAAAAAAAAGACATTGATTAATGATCCTTAACTTAATTCTAACCCGAAGTTTCCATTCCACAAGGCTGATGAGAATTTTAATCTTGGGCATTTTTAGGGACCTGTCCCAGAACTCCTTAGGATCAAACAAATATCTGAAGACTTTCTGGGTTGCTGAATAATGGTGAAAAGACCTCACTAGTGTTCATTCCATGGTGATCATCAATGATGTCCTTCTTCTCAATCCCTCATGGTCCCTGGAGGGCAGATGGCACCACAGCTTCTGTGCTGTGTTGGCCTGGAGCTCTGTGCTCAGAGTAGAAGTTCCATGTTCAGTCTTTCTCATATGGAGTAAGTCCCACCCAAACCTTTTTCTCTGACATAATCAGGGCAAGGGACAAGTGCTTGATTCATGAATCCAGAAAGAGTTAAAAGAGGTAACTAAGTGCCTATTTTGACCATTGTATTTTCAGCACAAAACATATATAAATATATGTATTTGTCAGTCTTTTAATATTGACATATTAAACATATTAAACATATAAACATATATAAATATATGTATTTGTCAGTCTTTTAATATTGACCCAAGACCTTTTCTTTGAATATGAGCACACTATTTGGTATTGTGATTGTCTTTCTTGAATAGATTCCCACTCATATTTCATCAGTCATGTTCACCTTTAATGTCTTTATAGTGAGTGGGAATTTAAAGACATTTGGGAAGTCATCTGAAGAAAGAATTTTCTAGACATTTTTTTATTCCTCCTCAATATTTCACTGTATCTCACTCACATTAATTTCACAGGATTAGCTAATTGCCATTATCTAGATTCTTTTCAGAACATTCGACTTAATTTCCATAGAACTCTTCCTATGTATACTCACATCTCATTGGTTTACGTATCATTTAATTACATATTCTGAATAACTAGTGTAACAGGTGTTAACATATTTAGGCACAAACTTAACTGACTCCTGGAAAGCACATAACTGCTGGAGGCAAAAGTAGGTGAGCATATTAGAAAGTGATGTACTGGTTCACAGACAGCTCCTGTGCTGTGGACATCAATCAGGATGTTTTATAGAAGAAATGAAAAGCAGAGGTTTATCTACCAAGTTCAGTGGAAATCCTTTAAGAGAACTTCTGCAGGGTTTACAACATTGTTTAAAACTGTGCTTCCAAAAAATATAAATAAATAAATAAATAAATAAATAAATAAATAAATAAATAAATAAATAAATAAATAAAAACTGTGCTTCCAGGGGGATCCCTGGGTGGCTCAGCGGTTTAGCACCTGTGTTTGGCCCAGGGCATGATTCTGAAGTCCTGGGATCGAGTCCCGCATTAGGCTCCTGGCATGGAGCCTGCTTCTCCCTCTGCCTGTGTCTCTGCCTCTCTCTTTCTCTCTCTCTCTCTATTTCTCTCTCTCTCATAAATAAATAAATAAAATCTTAAAAAAAATAAAACTGTGCTTCCTTACCCTCTTGCCAATGGATACCGCCACTTAAAGTCTTTGATCTTGAAACACAATGATGTGAAACAAATTGTGTCTTAATTTTCAGTTCTTGAAGTTTCAAATTCAATTTCATTGCATTTCCTTAAATAGATGGGATAAAGTTCATCTTTTTATTTGCCCTCCAGAACTTCAGTTAGTGATTGGTTTTTGACTTCATTCTCATTCTCCATCCTCATTTAACCTCTTTTATAGATGTTAATGAAGAGTTATATAGCTCCCCCAAAAGCTGGGGCAGGGGTGGTGAAGAGAAGAGAGGATGGGGAACGAAAGCCAATAATCTGATTTCCACACCCAATTGGTGCTTGGCTCCTAAAGAATCCAGATGCCCCTATGTAAGCATCACATGGAATATGGCCTTGCAAAATGTGTATAGGAAATTTTTCTGGGCACCAGGAGGGTTATTCAAAGAAAATAAAACTTTCTGTTTCTGTATATACTGTTCATGGATGCAGAACCAGAGGGAAATACAGTTTGCTTGTGCACTTGTAATGAAATGGCTGAAGATTCTCATCTCCCTTCTAGCTTCCAAGATTATATTCAAGTTCCTCCATCTAGTCATCTTCATAGAGTAAGATGATTTCATACATTTAGCCATTAATGTGTGAAACTACTGGGCTTGCCTCTAGAACAATCTATCCAAAGCACAGGTCTCACAGTGTCACCTTTTAACTCTGAAAATTCCAGCATCTCTCCTTGCCTAATGAGTTAAATCCTTATGCTTTGCACTGGCGTTTCTCTCTCTCCAAACAAGGCTTGCTCACTTATTATTACTCAGGACTGCCGTGTATCTACACTCCACTCCCGCCCTCCCTTCCAAAAATAACAGGCTTTCTTTTCCTCAACATGATATCTTTGTTTCTTCCCTTATGCTATATTTCCCAAACTTCTCTTCCATCAGTATCCTTGTCTTTAAATGGACTTACATTGTTTTCACTTAAATCTATTTATTTATTATAGAAAGCGTGCACGTACATGAAAAAAAAAAAACCCTGATAGCCCTTGATAAATAAAAGCTCACGACAAAAATGAATTCAATAAGATATACAATGATATTACCTTCTAGCTAGGTGATGCTTGCCTGTGGCATGCTCTATGTTGGTTCATGTGTTAAAGATTGGCCACCAACAGAGTTTCTCCTTGATGAAATTAGGAGGGTGGAAGAAGAATGGAAAATGGGGTGACTTTCTCATTCTTTTGTAGGTAATGCCAGGTCCATGAACCATCTAAAATAATCTCCTGTATCATTAATTTGTATGTGTATGTGTTCCACACTTTGAAAAACAATGCTTTACTCTCATGAAATGAGAAGCAACTGGAGGGCAAGAAATTATTCTTTCCATGTCCTTTGCCTTTTTGAGAATCTACTCCTTAGGCCTCTAAACTGCCCTCCTTCTGGGGGACACTAATGTGTCTCATGAGTCACCATGTTATTTGATGGGAAGAAATGAGTAGATATTTCTGAGCATTAGCCAATGGGTTGGTCTGTTTCCTCTGAAAGTCAAGATAGTAGGTTCTGCAGGCCTCTGGTCCTAGGCTGGAGAATGAGTGTGTTTCCTTAAGTTCTTGTGCATATACATGTGTGGGTGGGGTGTACATGCTGTGGGGATAGTAGCAGAGGAACCTGTGGGGTTCTCTGGACTTCCTTGGTTCATAAAGCTCTGTTCATGAAATGCCCCGATGCTCTGGCAGCCGGGTTGCTAGATTCCTATCTGAGATCAGTGTTTTGGGGGAGCTGGACAACCTCCGGAGACCATCTCCTCCCCTAACCACCCCCCACCCTACCCTACCCATTTCTCTCTCCTTTTATGGATGAGGAACCAGGGTCTAGGGAACAGGTGTCCCACCAGCAGTAACTCTGCCTTTCAGCTGCAAATTGGAGTTGAATCCAGATGCCTGCAACAGAAACCAATCCCAGTGGCCCTCCTGTGACTGATGTGAGTTGTTCACAGACTTTTCCCTTCCTTTTCCAGGCTGTGCTGAGTCCTCTTATTGCCATCGCGCTGAAAATATCCCAGATTCATGAGAGAACTGGCCGGAGGGGCCCAACCGTCATCACTTGAATGGAGGAAAAATCAGTCACCAGGGCCAAAAGAGAGCGCTTGGCGGGAGACACTTCACCCATGCCTTCTTGCTACCTTTTTGTGCCTTTTATGACTTTGAAACACACACACACACACACACACACACACACACACACGATAATTTGCTGGTGGTGGGTGGGGGGAGGGAAGAGAACAAAAAAATCTGTTTTCTTAGGTTTGGGTCAATTCCTCCAAATGCAACAGGGTGTTCAGTTGCCTGTTAAAGCTGCACTATCATTTGGTATCTTTATTCTATCACACAAAGGAACCTCACCTTTTGAGAAAGAGTAAGTAGGCCAGGAACATGTCCATCATGGCATCTGCGCATCGCTGGCATTAGGTGAGAAAGGTTCTGAACTCATGCACAGAGCGCAGCACCAGAATTAAGCTTACCCCAAGCCACGGGTGCTGCTGGGCAGACCAAGGAAGACTGTCCTCCTCGGCGTGGTGGAGGACCTAGCTTTTCATCCTGGGTCAGGTGTCCCGGGGGGGAAGGCTGTGCAACTCCTAAGGGCGCACCTCATGGCTGCTAGCCACCCGAGGGCCCACTCCCCCATCTTCTGACCTCTTGGGAGTCCCCGTGCCACCTTCCCTCACATCTTTGGAAGCATTCTGCAGATCACCATGGCACACTTTCAGTGAAACATATCAAAGGGTGTTTTCCTCTCTTATTTTGTAAATAATATTTTTTTAGCTCTTAAGCTGGCTGCATTCCTTCAGATTCAGCCATTCAGGGCACAGGTGGGAAGCAGTTTCTTGGCAGGACTCTGCAGATGAATGCCTCCCATTTCAGCAGCCCTCCCTTGACGACATCATGGAGGGTGATACAGGGATTTATATTAATTCCTCCCTCGAAGACAAAATACCACCATATCTGCTGTCTCTCTGACTTTCTCTCCACTCTCTTATCTCCCAGTAAGGGCCAAGTTTAAAGTAATCATTTGGACACAGTTCAGATCTTAATAGCAGTGGCTGTAGAAGGAGATGATGAAATGCTGGAAAAATAGAGTACTTGTTGGAAGAAGACCTTATTGGTGGTAGTTAAGGGCTTGATAAGAGGGAAGGGAGGGTGGGACCCCTGTGAGAAACTAGAAGGTCACAACTGGCTGTCTTTGCCCAGGAGAAGGATACTGCAGCTCTAGCAGCCTTTATCTGCACTCAGCCGGGACACTCGGTGTGGGACCTGTTTGTGTATGCTTTGCTTCCTTGGGAACGACACTCTCACTTACCCTGTTGTTAGCACAGATGACGTGGTGCTCTTTGTGAAGCAAAGTGGTATTGCTGTAGTCAGGATGAGCGCAAGCAGGGAGATGTTCCCAGGAAGGAATCTGTGTCCACTCTCTATCTCTGCTTCTGTCAGAAACTTACTAGGATATGTAATAGCCAATAAAAAAGAAATTCCTGATTTCAACCCTACGCATGGACTGTGGATTTTTGTTTGTTTTGCCATTAGTGGTCACATTTTGATAAGTCTGTCTTTCAGAACACTTGCAAGGGCTGGCTTTCGTTGTTAGGACCTGGGAATTTATTATATAAATGGAACCAGAAAAGGCAGATTACTCACAACTGCCTTTGGGAGTCAGCAGAAACTAAATTGGCAGCTGGTCTTTGATCGTAAGTATCTTTGTTTCCTAATCACAGAGGGTGGCTTTGAGCAGAGATTCTAAAGTCATGGAATTTGTCAGCAACGAATGTAATTTTCCTTAAAGCTTGGGTCTCAACACCTTTAAGTGGTGGTCTGTGACAGCCATCCCTTCACTACTCGGTTCTGTGTGGGTCCACACAGCTGGATGCGTTATCAGGCTTAGCTCTCAGTCAGAAAATATGTATTTTTTGTCTTAAATTGCTGAACTTTTAATCACCTCTAACTTCAAAGGTCAAATATAAGGTAATCCTCATTTAAAAACTCTGTTTTTTATTTCCAGCATGTGCATCCAGCAGTCCGAGTATACCTTCATTCATTCATGCATGCATGCATGCATGCATTTAACAAACACTGATTTAACAACTACTCTATGCAGAGTCCTGTTTTTGGTGTAGCGAGGAGATGTATAAAACACTATTCCTGCTCCTAGGAGTTTGTAATTTGGGAACAGGAGGCTATAACATACTCAAAGAAGCAGGAGGACATGAATGTTACCGTAGAGGCATGAACAACATGTTATGGGAACACACAGAGGTATTGACTCTGAGATGGCAGGACACTAGGCACTTGATGAGTTTCCCAACAAGTGGAGTTTCCTGGGACTTGTAATCATTTACATTATTTTACCAGGGGTCAATGTAGCCAGACCAAAGACTAGGAATTGAGAGGTAGGATGGCTGGAGAGGAGGCTTGCATTGGGTCTAGTGAGAGGGTGGCATGGATGAGAGGTTGGAGGAGCCACAGTGTTATAAATATCAAGCAGAGCACATGTTTGGGTCCAGCTATGGAAAGAAGCAGCTGCACGGCCACCTATTTTTACAGAGCTTTTTCTCAGCGAGGTTGCCAAAGGGAAAGTCCTGTTGTGGCTCTAGAATCCAGCCTTTCTCTCTGGAACCTGCTCAAATGCACATTGCCAAGGTATTACTTCTGCTTTACGTAAAATCCAAGCTTCTCTTGCTGAGCTATACATGTGTGTCCTCTGGCCTTCTCAAGAGAGTTGAAAGACAGGAAGTCACTCTTCTGCATGTAATGGTCTTTATGTCTTAAAGATGAAGCTCCAGCCACCAGAGTTTCTTAAGAGTAAATGACTGGAATGATCTGAGAGTTTTGTGGGGACCACAGGAGACAATCATAGAGGAGACCGTGAATGGATTGTGGCAATTGTCAGAGCCACTTTTGTGATCGACTAATATTGAAGGGTTCATTTGCTATACCATGTGCCCCCAGGATGGTGACAAGCAACAGTATGTATAGGCCAGTGGTTCTAACCAGCGCAGCACCTCTACCCACTCAGGGGGTGTTCAGAAATGTGTGTGTAGGGATCCCTGGGTGGCGCAGCGGTTTAGCGCCTGCCTTTGGCCCAGGGCACGATCCTGGAGATCCGGGATCGAATCCCACATCAGGCTCCCGGTGCATGGAGCCTGCTTCTCCCTCTGCCTGTATCTCTGCCTCTCTCTCTCTCACTGTGTGCCCATCATAAATAAATAAAAAAAAAAAAAGAAATGTGTGTGTATACATGCCAGAGAGGCATTTAAGGGAGGGCACCACAGATTCTAAATATCCTACCAGGGGTAGCCAGTCCCTTAGAATGAAAAATTGTTTTGCTCATTCATGATTTTTGGGTTTATTAACTGACTTGAAAATGGTAGGCAGCCATTATTAAAATGAGATCATTTATCAGGTCTTACTGATCCAAGGTGCAGCCTATATCCACAGTATTTACAGAACAAATAGTTTTTGTGTGGCATCTCAGACTGAAGGGCTTGGACATGACCCAAAGGCTTTCCACACAGGAAGCCTCAGATTGATGACCAGCCCCACAGCGGCACACTGGGCTGACAGTTGGCTGTGCTGAGCCTGTGTTTTCTCTGCAGATCATACAGTCAATGATAGGGATAGTGGTGTGGTGACTTCTGATTGGTCAGCTGTGGGTCATTGTAAGTCATGGGATTTACTTCGGCAGTAATATCCACTAGCCATGGCAGGTGTGAGGGAATTTGTAAAGCACCTACGGGAACTGATAGTGACATAACAGGTGACTCCATTTTATTGCTTGATCACGCACTGGGTACTCTTGAAACATGTGCACACTGACATCCCAGACACCTGCCTTGAGGAATGTCCTTTCTTGAGTGCAGAAGGGAAGGGCCTAAGAAATCGTGTACCTTTTGAAATGATGTAACTGCCAGTAAATCAGTGTTTGGCCTTTCAACGGTTACAAACAGCAAGAGATTATCAGAGGCAGCAGAGCTTAGCAGATGCCTGTTCCACTCCAACCAGCTGGAGTCCTTATCGGTGGAAATGGCTCATGCAGTTGACAGCCCATTTGGTATGTGAATCAGTCTGACCTGTCATGGAAAATTATAGAACCTGGTGAAGATATGCATTATAAACTCAAGTCTTTATCATCTTTTCATGTCTTTTAGCACCTAGTACGTGACCTGCAATATAGGTGAGCTGGGGAGATTCCTCATCAAAGACTGTGTGTTTAAGTAGGATCTTGAGGGATGGGTAGAGTTGCCAGAAAAAGTACTTGTGAGTTTCGGAGCAGAGAGGTAAAAAATACACATGCTACATCTTGGATATGCAAAGGATGCAGCATTATGTATTCTATAACTAACCTTGTCCTGCTCACCTTCTGGGGGTTGGAAGGAGTACTTAAAGCTGCCTGTCAGAGAGATGTTATAAGATTAAAATCCTGGAGGGCCGTCATCTCTGAGAATTTCCCTTCATCATTGACAGGTGAGCCTACCAATCCCACTTGAGAAAAGGGAATGAGCAAGGACTGTAGTGAATGTTTGCCTCTTCTCCACTCACTTGTAATTGACGTGTTCTCCTTGCCATTCAGGGAATCATGGTTCTCTGTCCCTCACCCCTAATTTTACCATAAATTTAAGGAGGAAGATGGGATACAAGGTCTACCTCCTTGAGTAAGTCCCCTAGGGCTGGCCAATGAATTAAGCACAGCAGAATGCTTTTGTTCTGACTTGCCCAGCGGGTTTTAATTGCTAGGCCTCTCAAAAGTAGGATTTGTTTGGAGTGACACTCCCGTCCTTGATGCTTGCTTCAGGGTACATCTGTTTTTTTAAAAAGAAATAGCTGTCTGGGAGCAGTACTTCTTTTCAAAAAGCACCTGGCTTATCTTCTGAATCAATAGTTGATGCTCAGTAATGTTTGGGTTTTCAAAAAGATTAACTCATCTGGATGCTGTGTTAGTTCCACATGGAGAATCAAACCTTGACTTATGTTCCCCTATTGATTTTTTTTCTGATACAAAACAGAGATGAAAGAGAAGAAAGTTTATGTACAAAATTTATTGCAGTAAAAAGATCAAAACAATTTTTGTATGTAAACCAAAATTAACATGTCTTATATGACTACCAGAAGTTGGAAAAACCACCTATTACAAATGCAAACTCTGGATGAAAGCCCAATGACAGAATTTGTTCTGGCCCGTGGATGTGCTGAGACCCCAGAGATGTCAGGATAACAGTCTTGGTTAGAGGGATAGAAAGAGAGTTCAAGAGAGAAATAATACATTGCACTGCTAATAAATGATCACCTTCCCATTGGACAACCATGAGTGGCCTTCATATCCAATTATACCTTTGATGTCAAGGATTCAAATCATGGGTGCCTAAATGTATGTTTCATATAAAGGGACCAGGACTTTCTTTTGTGTGGCTTCCTGTGTATTTGCCAGGATATGAGTAATCTGTGTGCTCAGCAAAAATGGGAAGAAGAGGCCATGGAGGTCTCATTCCATCTCGACAACCTTCTTCCTCCCTGAAAGCTCTTCATCCTTGCCATCACTGTCCAAACCCCCCCTCTGCCCCTTCCCTGAGGGCTGCCTGTTACCAATAGGAGCCACCTTTCATCTTAGATGGAATAATCAGAGAGAATGAAACCGCAGAGAGGTGAGGGCCAAGCTCCTAGGCAGAAAACATGGAGGGAGTATTTACATTTTAAAAGAGAACCCTATTCTATGTCAACTATACCTTAATGAAAAAGTTTAAAACCTTTTTTATATTAAGAAAAAATAAAAAGAGAATCCTAAAGGAAGATCTCTGGCTTCCCCAAGGACTGTAAGGTATTGCACAGTGCTGGGGCTCCTCTTCCTGTTAGGGTCCACTTTCTGAAGCTGGAGAGAAGACCAAACTGCCCCGTGGGAGAAGGGAGGGAGGACAGGGTTAATCTAGCACAAATGTTTGAAGTAAATACATCCTCTCATGCCCCTCTGTGGACGCTGCTTCACCCTACTGGCAACAACCGTATGCTATGGGCAAAGTTTCTTCTTAACACCTCAAAGTCTCAGTTTATACGTCTGTAAAAGGGGAATAACCATTGCACTTATTTCTGAAGGGTATGATGAGGGTTAAATAAAAAGCATAAAAGGTTCATGGCACAGAACCCATCATATAAGAGACATTCCATAGCTATTAAATAATAATCCCAGCACAAATTCCTCACTTGATTGAGGAAGAAACTGAGGCTCAGAGAGATGAAGATTTTTGTCCAAACTCTAATGCATCTCTTCCCACCACCTTTCCACCTGACATGTCCTCTCGTGTTAAAACATGTAATAAAGTATAACAAAGCTGAAGAGGAGTCAGTGGGTCTTAAGATAAATGTCCCAAGTCTACAAATGTGTGGGTCTGTATCTTGAGACACAAAGAATTTTCTGTTAAGGATCAAAGTACTACAATACAGTCTCCTTTCTAAAGATCTGCAGTGGGGGATTTGTTGAAATATACATTTCATATATATTTTAATGTCTTTCAAGATTTATGTCAAAATCTATATTAATGCCACCTATGACTAGTACAGTTTCCCTCCCTAAATTCTGTGTTTTTATGAATTTTTAAGTATTCTATCTGTTCAACTTGAGTCTAAGAAATCTCATCATCTCTGCTTGTACAACCATCCCGTTTTTAAGATATTCATTGAAAACTTTGTGTTCAAGCCATTTTGAAAGGAAATATTACAGTTGTTTTCCACATAGAAATAAAATACACATAACTTAAAAAGTAATACAAGTAATATTCATGGCTTCCAAGAGCACATCTCCCACAACGTGAACTACAGTGTCACTCTGGTAAATATGGAGAGAACTATGAAACCAGCCAACAAAAGCTGCAAATTAAACCACACTGATCCTTCGTTTCCAGCACTCTCTCCATTTGTGATTGTTGGGTGATGTGGTACCTGAAGGCGCACGGCTGCCCCAAGAGCAGCACCTGTTCCTCCTGCTGAGGTGCTGAGGGATAGGCTGAGGTGATGGGAGGGGATTGAGAGTCAAAGGCCTCTTGGAGCAGAGCTACAAAATTGGTCCCCGAAGCCCACCTGGGCTGGGATTAGCGCAAATCCGTTGAAATGTTGTTGGCTGCCGCCGGCTCCTTCTGGGGTCCCCGTGGGCCTAGCACATCTGTGGAACTGCATGACATCCACAGCATCTCCTCGGCAAGTGCTCCTGGGGGTCATGGAAGACACTTTCCCTCCCATAGTCTGGTGCCTGCATTTATTATTATCAAGGCTAACCCATGAGGGTGCATCACGAGCACAAGGAAGTGTCCTCTGCTTCAGCATCCTCAGCTTTGCCTCTCAGCATCCTGTAATGGTGTGGCTGCCGGCATCCCACCTGCTACAGACTCCTCATAGGAAGGGGGAGCCTCTGGGTGGGCATCAGCTGCGTCCTCCTCAAATTCCAGGCCCAGCTCTGTGTACAGTGGTGGAGGAATATCTGAGACTTCTCCCTCTGTTGTAGGACAGGGTTGCTTCTCAGCATCAAGACTCTCTTCATATGCAGGAGGGTAGAAATCTGGCCTGGAGATCAAAATGCCACAAACATACATGTGTTATTTAAGTGGTTAATGCCAAAGAGGCATATGCCTGCCTCTCTCAAATCACATTGTGTGAAGTGAAACTGTTAAGAAACATTGATTTTGAAACAGATGTACTTCTTCCCTGGCATCACCAGTTTTTTTTTTTTTTTTAAATGTGCTGCTCTTCCAGCAAAACCTTCCTTATCAGCCATTGGATATGTGCCTCTCTCGTCCTATTTTTCCCAGTGGGTTATTCCAAGCTCTTGCCTCTCTCTCCCTCATGGAAACCAGGGACTTTCAGCATGAGATCATTATCAGGGGGAGAGACATGGGGGGCGCCTAGGCTGTTCAACCTCCTTCCACCCAGTTAGTCCATTCGCATCCATGACCCCATTCACACGCACCTCATTTTCGACTCAGTTGTGCTGTCTCATATCCTCCTAGCCAATAAAATAATGAATGAAAACCAATGTATAAGCTTGTCAAAATCACTGTATACACCTGAGCCTAATGTATGTTGTGCGTCAGCTACACCGATAAAACATGTACTCAAAAATCCAGCTCTGGGCTGTCTCCTCAAATGTATCAGCTGCTCCTCTCTTTCTTCTCACTCTTTCAAGTCTCAGCAACTGGTTTCCAAAAAAAACATACTCATTTCTCAAAACATTTCTACCAACAACTTCACATAGATTTCACTTGCAGCTCTTTGCAGGCCAATAGGCCAATGACGAAAGGAGCCATTCTCGCCAAAGGTGATGTATTCACTGGTCATCTTGCCCCATGTTGCTAATTGCTAAATCCTTCTGGCCTCTCCATCATGAATGGGACAGGGGTGGTGTGAGATGAGGAAGAAAGAGGGTGAGCTTGATGGAGTTGTGTATTTATAGAGCAAATTCCTTAGTGCCCACAGGGAGTGTTTGTGGTGTGTAACCACAACAGAACAGAGCCTGCCACTTGTAGCCACAGCTCCATCCCAAATATTACCAGGCACAAAGCCAGATAGCTGAAGGAACGGTCTACTGTACGGCATAAATCTCAGCCTTCCCTCAGAATAGCTAAAGCAGTGTCATGGGACACACATGTAAAGACATTAAAGACAGAAAGGTGAGCTGTTCCCTGGAGCGACTTGAGAGGCTCCAGGGTGACTGCCACCGGCCCCTAAATCCCATCCAGCCCTCCCAGTCCCATTGGCACATGCCAGTTCATATTCTCAGTGCCCGAGTTCCACCATTGCAGACTCATGGCTCTGATACCTCAATGTGGGTTCCCATCTTGAATGCAAATGCTTCTGAGAAATGCAACTCTTCCCTAACTGACTTCCTGGTCATTCTGTGTAGGCCAGGCATCTACTAGATGCAGCAGGAAGATGTCCATATCACAGATCCCTTTGAAATAATTCAGCACGGTATGAGGCTATGCATGTGTTAGTAAATTTAATAACTTCCTCCTATAGGAGGCAATCAGCTACTCTTAGCAGGAATTTACACTCTAAAGGCAATCATCTAACATTTAAGAAAAAAAAATCACTCAAGAAGCATCATCCATAATCACCTTAGTCATCTTAATCTTTTATCAAACCCAAAGATCTTGCTAGTTAGTATAGTAAGTATTGGAAATGGGGTTTAGTTATTGTAATTAGTATCTTATTAATGAGCATAATAATGTCAAAAATCAACTGTCATGGGTAAAATTATTTACATTCAAGATACGTGGAGTAGCTAAAATATTTTAGATGAAGAGGGCAAAAGAATTTAGGAGTCCTGCAGCCTGTACCTGGAAGATGATGCCTGAAGTTTTATCCCTAAATGGTCTTGGGTCAGCCAAGAATTAGGAGGGTTTCAGTTGTCTGATACTGACCATAAGGTGAACTGAATTTTGTTTTATTGTAATGAAATATATGTGACATTAGATTTACTGCTGTAGCCATTTTAAAGGTACAGATCAGTAGCATTCAGTACATCCACACTGATAAGCAACCTTCACCATTCTCCCTCTCCAAAACTTTTCCATTACCCCAAACTGAAACTCTCTACTCAGTAAACAATAAGTTCCCATTCTCTCCTCCCCACTGCCCCCAATAACTGGTTTGCTTTCTGGCTCTGAATTTCACTACTCTAGCTATCTCATATAAGTGGAATCATGCAGTATTTGTCTTTTTGTGTCTGGCTTCTTTTGCTCAGTATAATGTTTTCAGGGGTCACCCATGCTGTAGCATGTGTCAGAATGTCCTTCCTTCTCATGGCCAAATAATATTTCATCATATGGGTAGACCACACTTTGTTTATCCATTCATCCACTGGACGACCCATGGGTTGTTTACACCTTTTGGCTATCTTGAAGAATACTGCTATGAACACTGGTGTACAAAGATCTGTGTAAGTTCCTACTTTTAATTCTTTTGTCCACTTACCCAGGAGTAGAATTGCTGGATCAAATGGCAATTCTATATTTAATCTCCATACCATTTTCCATAAAATGATTGCACTATTTTCCATTCTCACCAGCAGCGCACAAGGTTTTGAATTTTGTGTATTCTTGTAACACTTGCTGTCTCTGTGGGGTTGTTTTTTTTTTTAAGTAAGAGCCATCATAATGGGTATGAGGTGGTCAGGTTAACTGAATTACCTCTGGAATATGACTTGTCTTGCGTTAAATAAATCTCTCAGGCAAGGTGTGATGAGAACACCTAGAAAGGTGGTAAGCTGGGACCTCACTGAGTTCATGGAGAGATTGCAGGACTAATGCAATACCTGCTTGTTCATTTGTTGTGGGCCAGAACCTGGTCTGGAACTTGCTTTCCATATAACCTGGTAGCCGGGTTATGGGGAATAACTCGCCACCTCCTGCTTCTAAAGACAGCTTCCATGATACAACAAGAGAACCTGAGTTGGGCCTCTTCTATTGGCTTAGGTAGGTTTTCAATGGAGGGAGATGTTGTTTTTCAGGTAGAAATCCCCTCTCAGTTCATGGTTTTCCCCAGCACCATTCTTCCTAAGGACTAACTCCAGAGTAATTTCCTGACAGGAAAGCTTCAGTTCTAGACCTACAGCCCCCTGCAGGACATGCTCCACATATTGCTCCACATCTTGCTCCACAGTGGGGTTAGGTTCATTCTGCTTTTCCAGAATTCAGTCCCATTGCAACCCTCCTCCATCCTCTGGCCTCTCAGCACATACCTGTCGACAGTGGCCAGGGGCAGTGCCCCATGAGAAAGATGTCTTCTGAGCACATGGGTGAACACTCCTTTGCTTTTACTTGCCTGGCGGTAGGTGCTCCAGAAAATTCCACTCAGGAGGATCACAAACCCCAGTGGCAGAAGCATATAGGCCAGGATCAGGTTACCTCGACAGTTGAATATTGATCCTGAGGAAATGAAGAAGGCCCCCAGGCAGATCATCAGGAAGCCCATCAAGAGGGCAAAGGCACAGAAAACTAGACCCATTCTGTTTTGCATCCCAGCTCCTTTGGAACGCTTCCACTCCCCTGCTTCCTTGCTCAGAAACAATGCTCTCATTAGCCAGCTTGGAGCTTTATATGCTCTGGGACCAACTGGCCTTTGGACAATTAAGTGAAGCAGGCACTTAGAAGCTATTCATTAACCACTGAAAGTTACCGTAATATCCTTGGAGGATTAACCTAAAAACAGCATTGTGTAAGGCAGGGAGGAGTGGCTTCTCATTGCTGGCTTGCTCTTCTGAGCTGGGTAGGACCCTTAGCCAACCTCGGGTATTTGAGGGGAAGTCTCTTATCTTTTGATTAATCCCCATGGTGGGTAATTTCCTGCTAATGCTAGAGAAATTAACGTTTGTTTTTTGATGAACTATCTTCTTTGTGCTTTGGCAGGGGATCCTTTCTTGATTTCTTCTTTCTCTGTACTAAGAAGACATTTTTAAACTCTTAAGTTCATCTTTCCTTTCTCGATGAAACTTCCTTTATGGCCTTCACCCTATGCTACTGGAAAAATCCCAAGAGAAATGCCCATGGTGTGAACTCCCTTCTCTGTTAAGAAAATGAGCATCCACAGGAGAAGGAAAGAGAATTCTGGAGAGAAGGGTTGTAATAGCACTTTGGGAATTTGGGGGAAAAGTTTCTGGGGATGGTTGTAAAAGGCGATGATCTGGGGGTACATGGATGGCTCAGTCAGTTACGCATCTGCCTTCGGCTCAGGTCATGATCTCGGGATCTTGGGAATGAGTCCCACATTGGGCTCCCTGCTCACCGGGGAGTCTGTTTCTCTCCCTGCCCCTCCTTCCAGCCTGTGCTCTCTCTACCTCAAATAAATAGGTAAAAATCTTCTTTAAAAAAGAAGAGGTGATGATCTGATGACTTCTCTATCCTGTTTTTTTTTAAAGATTTTATTTATGTATTCATGAGAGACACAGAGGCAGAGACACAGGCAGAGGGAGAAGCAGGCTCTCTGTGGGGAGCCCAATGTGGGGCTCCATCCCAGGACCCCAGGATCACACCCTGAGCCAAAGGCAGACGCTCAACCACTGAGCCACCCAGGTGTCCCTGAACTGGTTTTACATCTTTCCCATTGTTGGGCCCAAATGTTGGGGTCCTGGGGTCATTTCTGGCTAACACATAGGTGTTTGATAAAAATTTTTGTTTGTTACTCAACTGCTGGCAAGCATTCTTGGCTTACCTTTCCTACTCTCAAGAAAAGCCACAGGTATTTAATAAAAGAGCGTTCCCTAAAATGTGTAGCATGTTTCCACCTCCAAGCAAAATAAACACATGTGCAAAGTGCTGCCTGTTCAATCCCCACCCTCCCTAATACACACAGCTTAGAGTTTCACAAGGCACACTAGTATATTAAAAACTCTGAAAAGTCCTACAGTCTTTTTCCCCTCATAAAACACATATGAAGTAAAATTTGTTTTGGTAGATGCTGCTAAAAAAAATGTTCCCTGTCCTCTCCCCTGCACCATCTGCTTCCCTGTAGCATTGCCTCAAAAAATCTTTACAGAACCAGCCTTCTGTTTCCTGTCTGGAATTTGTTTCCTCCATCTTGACTGTCTTTGGTTATAGACACCCTATTCTAGATCTGATTCATGCCCTGATTCCTTCCTTTTTTATGTGATCTTTGGGCATGTCCCTGCCAAAATTCTCCTGCCCACAGGGATTCTGGGTCACTTTTGTGCAGAGAGATTATCTCCAGTCCCTTGCCACTCCTCTACCCCACTACTCCATTACTTTTATTCCATTTACTTTCCCGATGGAAAAAGGAATTCTTTGTGTAGTGCCCCAGTGCTGCTATGTACACCCTTTAGCCTTATCCCTACCAACTCATGTTATGGGGTCGGAGTGAGACAAAGACACTGGATCAAAAATAATATAAGGTACTTCCCTATTTCACCTCCTAACCTCTACCTTTATTAGCTTCAATACTTACCCTGATCTACTTTCATCTTCTCCTCTTGATATTATCCCTGCAATCTGAAAACAACCCTTTCTCCCTTCTTTTCCAACTGGTTGTGAGGTTTTCAGATTTCTAAGATGCCCCTGATGATTTTTGCCTTCTGGTATCTGTATCCCCCAGAATGTGAGCTGGACATAGTGTAGGCTAGACACAGTGACTTGATTCGAACCAATAGAATATTGTGGGATGTCACTTCTGTGATTAGATTGCAAAAGATTGTAACTTTGTCTTGCTAGCACTCTTTCTATTGTCCTTTCTATTGATGGCTTATACCCTTTGAAGAAGGAAGCTGCCATGTTGGAGAGGCCCATATGACAAGGAACTGAGTGTGGCTTGTGCCCAACAGTCTGTGAAGAACTGAGGACCTTAGTCCATCAGCCAGTGAGAAACTACATCCTGCCAATGATCATGGGAACCTGAAATCAAATGCTCGCTCAGTTGAGCCTTGAGATGACTATACCCTAAGCAACACCTTGCTTGAGAGACCTCAAAGTCAAGGACCTACCTATATCATACCCAGATTCCTGCCCCACAAAAACTTTGAGACGGTGGGTGTGTGTTGTTCTAAGTTGCTATGTTTTGTGGCAATTTTTAGGCAGTGAGAAATAACTAAATACAGCTCCTTGGGACTTGGAATCCAAAGAGGACAATCAAGGTTAAGTGTTTGCCTAGTATCTAGCCCATAGAACTCGCCCTATGAAGGTTAGCTATAGTCATGCCCACGATTATTGTTATTGTCATTAATGCTGTAGTTCCAAAGAGCTGAGAAAGACCAGCATTTCCAACTGAAAGGTCGGAAACTCTTGGGAGTTGAGTCCCAAGAGCAGGTAAGTGGTGGAGCCCCAGAGAGACCCCAGACATAGTAGAGTAAGGAAGGTAGCACTCTTGAGGAGAACTGCCCACCCATAGGGTTGGGCTTCTTTGTTTTAAACCAAAACTGAAAGATGAACTAGACTGGGCATCATGCCAGGTCAGGTCTACTTCCTGTGATCACACAAGTGTTTGAGGAAGTAAGTATCCCTGTTCTTTCCCTCCTCCAATTCCAGTGAAGGGTAACTAGTGCCATACAGAACTCCAGGTTCTCCCCCTCCAGTACCTTTTATGGAGTCCCCTGTTGTTTCAGAGCAATGTATTTGTTATTGGCGGTGGGTTTTTGCTTATTTTGGTGAGACATTGGGTAGGAAAGAGCAAGATCCAGGAGATAACAGGAAGATAGAAGGATTTCAATACTTTATATAAAATAAAGAGCAAGATCCTGGGCTCAGAACAGTGGAGATGTTTATCTGGGGTGGGGTGTGGCATTGGGGAGAAAGTATAGGAGGATCTGTAGTTTATGAAGAAAGTGGATGAGAAAGGAAAAGAATCAGTATGGAAATATGAAATATTGCTTGGAATCACATGTCTTCTTCATGATGGTTGAGACATCCTAATGAAAAATTAATGTCGAAGTTTTTTTTCCTGTTTGTGTTTATTATTCTGAAATATTTTAATTACTAAATAATTACGTATGTTTTACTGTGACTCTGCTTCAGTCCTGAAGCACATGCATTATGCCTCCCTGAACATTATTCCCCTTTGATGCCTCAAAAATGGTGATAGTGACATAGAACGAATATGGAGAGAAAGTACCCTGGACTTCATCAGTCTGGAAGGAACAGAACCCCAAGCAGAGGGCAGTTGTAACAACAGAAGAGAAAAGCAGGCCAACTCCTCAGGGTTGGGGAAAAATGAAAAGAATCCAATAAAAAGCCAGTCCCACACCAAAACCTCACCTTAAAGAGTTAGTTTCAGGTGAGCTTTGAGCCTTTGGCTGGGCTTCCTTAAGCTCTGCCCTGCTTTCTAGGTTTGCCTTGACCCCCAGGCCAATGTTCCTATTCCTGTCAACCTTGCCACTCCCAGCACTGAGTGTGAGAATGAGGGGGGCCAAATATATCGACTTCATTTAAAGGTGGAGTAACTGCGAGAGGGATTTCTGAGTCACCTAAGTTCATACAGACATCTTAGGACTGATGGGAAAGAGTATGGACAGAGGCCCACCTTCAATAGAGAGATGTTCTGGGACCCAGTAGAAGCCAAGCCATAGTCCTTGTCCCAATTCCCCATCAAGGTATCCACCTGGGAAATGTCTTGCTTTTAAACCAGTTCATTTAGTCATTATTATAATTCTTAAAAATTCACCAATCAGCAAAAGTGCCTGACCTGGCAACAAGCAGTAGTAGCATGTTATTTGGTTGACAGCCAAACTATTTTAAAACATAATCATTCTTTCAACACTGTTCCTTTGAGCATGACTGACCCATGAGCACTTCTGAACATTGAGTGCAGCCAGTTCCAAGCACTGTTTTGGTTTCACGTCAGAGCCCCCTGACACCTCACCCTCCTTTTGGACTCTTCTGTGTAATACGCCTTGAAGCTTCTAACTGCACTCCAGCCTTTGTTTACTGGGCATATGGGCCAGTACCCTTCTCTTGAAAACAGGAACATCGTATTGCTTTGGATGAGAAGTCAATGGGGACTTTGGAAGGAAGCTAATGGTGTGTAGAAGCAGTTGCATAGGAGAGGTCAAGAGTTGAGGGAGAGCGGTCAGATTTCAGAAGGTTACTTTGGTTTAGGAAGTGAGGCCTTGTGGGAGGTGGGGAAGGTGAGCATATGCGTAGCCAGCCATGTCACCCTGGTGGTGATTACTGAGTGATTTCTGGATTAGCCTTTCACACGTGTGGGTTCACTGAGCACTGGTCACTTCCTTCTCCTTGTTTTCTTTGCTTTTGAACCTTTCCCCCCACCTCTCTTTTTCCCCTCACTCACTCAGGAAGATTTACACGAAGGCATTTTAAGGTTGGCAGAGAATACACAGCTTCTCAGGAAAGGAGTGGCATGACGTGGTGAAGTGATATTAGACCAGCACACAAGGCTCATTCTCACCTTGGAATGAACGTAGTGTGTTTCTAGGAAAGAGAAAGCCACGCAAGGCTAGGACTGTTGAGGCCTGTGAGGTACTCCGAGTATAAAACTTATGGGGTGCCAAAACACTTAGTAATCAAAATAAATCATATTTTTGAACAATATGTTTTA